AATAATGCCTCCAAATACGTTAGGGATCTTGAGTACCTAGCTAGCCAACACCGTGATTTCAGATTCTGTAGGACCCAACTAAAATGTTCTTGACGTCTGACCACAAACTATGACTTAATCAATTGGAGTAATTTTTAAACTGCTAAGCTCATGCTAATTTGTTACACGGCAATGTAAAAGTAACACAGCTGACGCTGTTCCCATATCTTGGCCATTGTGAATAATGTTACAATACACATGGAGTGGAGATGTCTCTTCAATAGAACGACTTCATCTTCTTTGGATATATAATCAGAAGTAGGACTGCTGTATCATATGGTAATTCTAATTTTATGCTTTCGGGAGTCACCATACTGTTTTCCATAGTGCTGTACCAGTTTACATTCCCACCAACAGTCTCCTTTCCTTCACACCCTTGACAGCATTTGTTATCTCTTGTCCTTTTGATAATAGCCATCTTGGCAGGTGTAAGACAAGACCTCATTGTGGTTTTGATTTGCATTTTCCTGATGATTAGTGATACAGAACACCTTTTTACATGCTTGTGGACAACACGTATGTCTTTTTTGGAAAAACACCAAATCAGTTCCTCTGCCCCTTTTTTAATCAGACTGTTTGTTTTCTTGCTATTGAGTTGTTTAAGTTCCTTGTACATGAGTAGAGTAATGGTTTTTTTCCATAAAAGTGAAAATCCTTTTTGTGTTTCTTTCAGTTAGTGAAAACGTGTATTAACATCAGTCTTTTGTACAAGAAACGTGTCATAACACAAACTTTCAGAAAGTGAGGGCTACTTTTCCCTTTATGCCATTTTGGCTTGCCACAGGTTTCACAGGAATGCTCTATTTTCACATATCAGAGGAAACTTGTATATTTGGGATATTAACCCCTTTGCAAATCTTTTTCTCCTCATCTGTAGCTTGTCTTTGAATTTTGTTGATTGTTTCTTTTGCTGTGTACAGCTTTTTAAGTTTGATGGAGTCACTTTAAATTTTGCTTTTGTTGCTTGTGCTTTTGGTGTCACATCCAAAAATTGTTGCCAAGATTGATGG